TACCCGGAACAGGGCGCACAAAAAACTTCTTGTCCAATTGATTCCTTGCATGAGATAGAAACTCATCCGGGTGAGGAAAGGAGTTAGAAGCATAAGAGGGAAATAACATCTCGTTCTTATCGTTGGACTGCAGCAGAAGGGCTATGCCCTGATTGCTTTGCTTGAAAATGAGTGGGGTCAGTATATAAGCAGTCTCTTGTGTTGGAGTTTGATGGACCGGACCCACGAGAAGTTGGGTTGTCTGAGCTTGATGGACAACTTGGCCCATGATCTGGTCTTCCATTCTCATCCTTTTTTGTTGTTGTTCCATCTGTTGTGTTGTACCGTTTCTTCCTGTGTTGTTGTTTTGCGTGGTTGTTTCAATGAATGCGTTGGTTCTTGGTAGGGGTACCAAAGGTGTAGTCCTCATGGCTCCTTGCTGACCATCTTTGCCGACTGCAGTAATGGTGAGAAGTCCCTTCCTATCTGTGGTGGGTCTGGGACGGGTCAAGTCTATCACCACTTGTGGACCTTCGGTTCCATATAGACCCGCAATGGTGAAACCGTCATCCAGGTTACTCCTTGGTCGCCATTCCATTTTGCCTTGGCGTTATTCGTTACTGTTTTGTCGGTGAAGAGTGTTTGGTCTATCCCGACCAGCCGGTGGAGGCGGGATTGTGCTTCTGTTCCCCATGTGTCCTTGATTGGAGGGGTGATACTTCTTTCTCAGGCTAGAGTGTTGGAACTCCTTGTCCTGAAAGGTAAAGGAGTCCCAAACATTCTTCTTGGGAAGGTTGTCAGATAACTGGTGGAAGAAAGTCAGGGATGGGGTTTTCGAGTGTTGGCCCTAAGTCGTGCCTTTCTGTCTGAAGTCGCCATCAGCTTTGCATTCCTCTATTGAGTGTCGGTTTCTGAAACAGTTGTAACAGTACGGGCAATTGTCCGGTTTGTGACCATACTTGTTGCACTTCGTTCACCATGGGGTATGACAGTTGATGAGGTTTGCCATCTGATTCAAGTACGTATCCCCCGTCCAGACCTTGAGGCGCGAGTGAAAATGTTCCTCGTCAGAGGGGTGAAGTTGGAACTTTAAGTTTCCCAGTTTGGGATCCTCCAGATCATTGATTGGATCAAATTCCTTCAACACTTTCCCCATTACTATTTCCAAACCCGTTTTAATGAAGACAGAAGCAGTGATGGGAAAGCTCATCGCCATTACCCAGTAGTTGTTCCTTTTATCTTCTTCTTTTTTCTTCTCCCATTCTTCACGTGGGAGCCACGATCGGAAGAAGACCAGCTTCCATTCGCTGCTTTCTTTGAATTTCATGCATTCTTTTGTCAACAGTCATTCGACGACTTTGAGGTTCTTTGCTACGTATGTCATTTGGCCCCTCCCTTCCATGTGTGTTGTCCCTCTTTGGGAGAGGAGCTCGACCTCCGTGAGAACAACATCTTCGAGGAAACGAATCAGGTCGACTTTTTGTCATTGGACCAATTTTTCGTTTCCCCTTGGAATACGATAGCTACAGTCATTCGTTTCAAAATATCATTATGAACCCTCTGAATGTTCTCTTTGGGTCTGATTTCTATGCAATCATCCTCAACGTTGATGGTGGTTTCCACGTAGTCTGACACATCTTTAGATACGTGATCCAAAAACCAATCTTTCATTATACCGGTAAGTTTTTGGATCTCATCCGAGTCTGTATGATTGGAGGTTGAGGTACCTCCAGCTGGCAGGGCATTCATCGAACCCGACATTTCTCGGGGACGTACAGTAACTGGTGAGTGTTGCTTGGCCATGGAGGAAAACGGACTCTAATGAGAGTGTGTGGATGGGTTTACTGGAGCGTAAGGCTTACACATGTACCTATCATGTGGCTGAAAGCGATCAGGAAAGAGGTACTTCGAGGGGATGAGGAGGCGGGGTGTGGTAGAAGGGGAGGGGGTTGTGTTGGTGGTCTAGCTGGCTGCATGGGGGGTGGGTGGGGGTGGGTGAAAGGGAAAGTTGGGGTATGGAATGTATGCCAAGTAGGGTTACTCGGCAAAACCGGGAGCTCTGTAGAGGGGTAAGGCGGTAAGGTGGGGTAAACTGTAAAGGGGCGTAGTGTGGGATAGGGTTTTATTTGTTTCTATTGTGGGGAAATTGGAGGTATATTGATGCACGAGGGGGGGTGAGGGGCAATTGCGGATGAAGGGAGGGGGGTGTCCGGGGTGAGGAATCCGAATGGCCCGTATGGCATTCAGGAGGGAAAGGGTAAGTCGGGATAGAGGGTGGGCCAAAATCCCGTGTAATAAGAGGGAATGAATGTGAATGGTGGGCGCGGCGTGTCGCGATGGGCCCAAACTCGCCACTGAAACTGTCTTGGTGGGAGTCTTCAGAGTATGAGGTAATGGAGTCGGGAGTCGGAGTATGGGTTATCGAGTATTATAACTTATATAGAGGTGGATTTAGATATACAGGGAAGCACTGTGTTAGGATCCGACGCGGTAATTATGAGGTGAATGGAATATAAAGTATCGATTGTTGTTATTTATGTACGAACAAACTACTATCTTTTGGGGGAGTGTTGTATTTGAATGAGAAGCGGGGGTGGTGAAGGATGTAAGTAGGAGCCAGGATGGGAGCGGGTTGGCTACTCGGGGACTGAGGGGAAAGGTGTGAGGCGGAGGGATACCGAAGTAATTTCTGGATCACTGCAGTGGGTGGAAGCAGTTACAAACAATATTGGGAGGTTTGCGACCAGATATAATTGAGTAGGCGGATCGGGGAACGCGGTGCGGTCGGACTGGCAGAGTAACAATATCTGTGGGGTGAGGTCGTAGGGTTGGAAAGTTGTTCTAGAGTCTATTACACAAAAGAAAACAAAATAATTGATCTGACAGGGTGCAAGATTGGGTCTTGGTGGAGTAATTATTTCTTAGAAAAAACAAAAACTAAGCGCCGAATGGATCGAGGCCTAACCGGGGCACATTCAGAATTCCAAACTGGTAAAGGATCTGTGGACAATAGTCGGGAATCAAAAGGTTATAAGTCTGATTGGACGAAGTAGGGAGGGGATGGTTTTAGTGGGAAGAGATGAATACTTTGAACGGGAGCGGCGCTAAAAATTAGTGGGAAATAGTTAGGGCAATTATTGAGTCGGGCATCCGTTTTTTCTCCTCCGAGAATGGAAAGTACTGTAGCTCACCGTAATGTTGGAACAGCGATAAACACTTCGAGAAGTCGTAGTCCAAACAAAAAACTCCCCCGAGGCAAAGCACAAGTGTCGCCAGCGACCAGAACTTGCGTGAAAAAGCCTCCCGTTAAGCTTCAGAAATACTGGGTAGACTCCTGTAGCGGAGCGCGACGCTGGTAGAAATGGTGAAATCTGGGTAGTAGGAACTTTGTTGGCTTGGGGGGAGGTGGTCTCCGGGGGTAACAGCCTCCTCGCGGTAAGTGCAACTCGCGATGGAGTTATGGCTGTGACCCTTCGACCTTCTCCTTCACAGTAGAAGGCTGGATAGCTATGGTGAGAAAGTTACCATTAGCGCAACCACACGAAAACAGCGCAGGCGCTCAGCGCCGCAGAAGTCGCGTGCCGTACCTCCTCTCCTAATGTGTTTTCAACTTTTCAATGAATCGTCATCTCTCATTAGCAGGGCCGAGTGCCCTTGATGTTGTCTTTTGCTCTCCCATTGGTAGGTTTTTCTTTTGTTTTTGTTGTTGGGGTCCTCTTTCTGTCCCAAACTTGCATGAAATCAGAACCACGTTTTTTGGTTCGTGAAATCACACACGTTTCACTCACGGCGAAGGCAAAGACGAATGGCTTCATCGCTGGAAATTGATTGTGGTTTGGGAGGTGTCTGGGAGGGTTCGATCCCCTCTCCTACAGCAAATGGTGTATGGAGTTACTCTTGCCCTCCTTTGCCAAAGAGAATTTCTGTCAGAACAACCGAACAGCCTGCACTGCGGCCTATTTCAAGGAAGCCTTAGACTATTGCCAATGAATATGGTCCGTGTTCCCACTCGCATGCAGTCGTCTTGACTGCCACAGCCATGGTCAGTGAATCATACCCTGACATCTGACACTCGGCCTGGAGCAGACACCATCTGTGAGAAGAGCACTTTCTTTTCCAACCAATTCAATTACCCGCAGGTGCGATACCTGCTTTGTTTGGTCATGAAGTATTTTTTGCGTTTATTTATTTCCCCCACCCGTCCCACATACATGGCTACCGTCTTCCCCCAACATAACGCACCCTTAAAATGAATGTATACAAGCCATATTTCCGTCCAGATACAGCCAAAATGAGGGCGTGTTGTGTTCGGGGGAATATGGTAGTGGGATCTCGCTCCGGGGCCGAGTCCCACCGGCAGGGGTTTGGTTAGGGTTTCGTGACCTGCGCGGCGCTGTGTGGCTGGGTGCGGCACGGAGGGACACAATTTTTAACGATTAGACGATTATGGGCCTCAAAGCTGCACTACTCTCGAAATGTGCAAAACGCGAGTGAATCTTCCGTTAGAATATGGATAGATACAGGGCCATGGTTTTTGTCTTTTGTGGGTGTTGCCCTATGAGCTGTCCTCCAAACAGAACGGCAGAACGGCAGTGCTCGTAAGAAGGTGCAGGGCGCCGGGGCGCCAGGGCTGAGGGTCCGTGTGAAAGTGAATACGGAGCCGACTTTGCAGCGGAGGGGTGCATCTGTCCAAATATCCGCGTTAGATACATTCACCCGCTGTTGATTTGTTTTTTTTCTTCTTTTTCACAGGACCTTCGACGATCTTCCAGACATCTTTTACCAGTCAAGAGGCCCGCCATTACTTGCTCAGGGTCCGTGTGAAAGTGTATACGGAGCCGACCTTGCAGAGGTTTGCATCTGTCCGAATATGCTGGTTAGATACATTCACCGCTGTTATTTTTTTATTTTTTTTTTTCACAGGACCTTCGATCTTTCAGACCTTTTTTACCCGTCAAGAGGCCAGCAATCAGTCGCTCGTTGCACCTCATCAGCGCTTCAGTTGCGAAGAGCGAGGGCGGCGCTCTCTCTCGCGCCACGCAGTCGTCGATTTCTTGGATTTCGTTGGAACGAAGAGGAGGGGGAGGAGAAGAGGTCTCGAGAGATAGGGAAGGTGGTGGTGGTGCGCGTGCAGGACTCCCGTTTCTTGCTGGAAGTTAGTAGCTATGGCGGCCAAAAGTGAAGGACCAGCGATTGGAATCGACTTGGGAACGACGTACAGCTGTGTCGGCGTGTGGCAGCATGATCGTGTCGAGATCATTGCCAATGATCAGGGTAACCGGACCACTCCGTCCTACGTGGCATTCACGGACACCGAGCGGCTGATTGGAGATGCGGCCAAGAATCAAGTGGCAATGAACCCAACGAATACCATCTTCGACGCCAAGCGGCTGATTGGTAGAAAGTTCAGCGACAGCTCGGTGCAGAGTGACATTAAGCTCTGGCCTTTCGAGGTCATCGATGGCCCGGGCGGGAAGCCTCTCATTGGTGTATCGTACATGGGGGAGAAGAAGCAGTTCGCTGCAGAGGAGGTGTCCTCCATGGTGTTGACGAAGATGAAGGAGATTGCGGAGGCGTTTCTCGGTGTGACTCTGAAGAACGCCGTGATTACTGTTCCCGCCTACTTCAACGACTCCCAGAGGCAGGCAACGAAGGATGCCGGTGTTATCTCTGGTCTGAACGTGATGAGAATCATCAATGAGCCGACGGCAGCGGCCATCGCCTACGGTCTTGACAAGAAGGCGAGCAGCGTCGGCGAGAAGAACGTCATGATTTTCGACCTCGGCGGCGGCACTTTCGATGTCTCCCTGCTTACTATCGAGGAAGGCATCTTTGAGGTGAAGGCGACTGCTGGAGATACTCATCTTGGAGGCGAGGATTTCGACAGTCGAATGGTGCATCACTTCGTCCAGGAGTTCAAGAGGAAGCACAAGAAGGATATCAGTGGCAGCGCTAGGGCGTTGAGGAGGCTGAGGACTGCCTGCGAGCGTGCGAAGAGAACTCTGTCTTCCACCGCGCAGACGACTATTGAGATTGACTCTCTCTTTGAGGGCATCGATTTCTACTCCACGATAACGAGAGCGCGTTTCGAAGAGCTGAACATGGACTTGTTCCGTAAGTGTATGGAGCCCGTGGAGAAGTGTCTGCGCGACGCTAAGATGGACAAGAAGTCGGTCCACGAGGTGGTGTTGGTTGGTGGCTCTACTCGCATTCCCAAGGTCCAGCAGCTTCTCCAGGACTTCTTCAACGGCAAGGAGCTGTGCAAGAGCATCAACCCCGACGAGGCAATCGCCTATGGCGCTGCTGTGCAGGCTGCCATTTTGAGCGGCGAAGGTAACGAGAAGGTTCAGGACTTGCTTCTGCTCGATGTCACTCCTCTCAGCCTCGGTCTGGAGACGGCAGGCGGTGTGATGACTGTGCTGATTCCTAGGAACACGACTATCCCCACAAAGAAGGAGCAGGTGTTCTCCACGTACTCCGATAACCAGCCTGGCGTGCTCATTCAAGTGTTTGAGGGTGAACGATCTCGTACCAGGGACAATAACCTGCTGGGCAAATTCGAGTTGTCTGGTATTCCGCCCGCGCCCAGAGGCGTTCCTCAGATCACAGTATGCTTCGATATCGACGCCAACGGCATTTTGAACGTTTCTGCGGAAGACAAGACGACTGGCAGCAAGAACAAGATCACGATTACCAATGACAAGGGTCGTCTGTCGAAGGAGGAGATCGAGAAGATGGTTCAAGATGCGGAGAAGTACAAGGCGGCGGACGAAGAGCATAAGAAGAAGGTGGAGTCGAAGAACAGCTTGGAAAACTACGCGTACAACATGAGGAACACCATTAGGGATGAGAAGATTGCCTCCAAGTTGGACCCTGCCGATAAGCAGACGATCGAGAAGGCGGTGGATGCGGCTGTGGAGTGGCTGGACCACAACCAGCTGGCAGAGGCCGATGAGTTCGATGACAAGATGAAGGAGCTTGAGAATGTGTGCAATCCAATCATTGCTAGGATGTACGGAGGTGGAGCGGGGGGGGTTCCTGATATGCCAGGAGGGGGTTTTGGCGGCAGGGATGAGCCGCCCAGCTCCGCCGGTGGCCCTGGGCCCAAAATTGAGGAGGTGGATTAAGCTAGAGGGGGGGGGTGGTTAGGGTAAGTAGTAGTAGCTAGCTGATTCGGTGACACTTTTTTGTGCTCTGGAGATTGGCCTCGGCGACATTTTTTTGCGCTCCGGAGATTGGCCTCGGTGACATTTTTTGTGCTCTGGAGATTGGCCTTAGGGAGGGCGCGCGTCTTTTTCGTCACGGTAGGGATGAACCGCCCACAGCTCCGTCGGTGGCCCCGGGCTCAAAATCGAGGAGAGGAGGTTGATTAAGCTGGGAAAGGGGGAATGGGGTAGTGGTAGTGTAGCTGATTTGGTGGCAATTGTTTGTGCTCTGGAGATTTTGGCCTTAGGGTTCGTTCGTTCTTTTTTCGGCGGCAGGGATGAGCTGCCGAGCTCCGCCCGTGACCCGGGGCCCAAAATTGAGAAGGTCGATTAAGCTGGGCAGGAATAGGGTAGTAGTAGTAGTTGTAGTAGCGGATTCGGTGACACACTTTTTTGTGCTCTGGAAAATTTTGATTTCGGCCTTAGGGCGCGCGTCTTCTTCGCCACGGCAGATTTGAGTGTTCTCTATGCAAACTCTGCTTCTCTTCTCTCCTTGAGCGGTTTGAACCATGTTTCTTGGGACTGTTGAGATGATTAGCAGTAGTCGTCCCGATCCCGGCTTTGTGGTTCGATTGATATTTTTTTGCTTCGAGTCTTCGCTTAAATGTAGTAGATTTCTCAGATCGCATTTCTGATGGCGGTGTTGGATTTGAGTGATGTGATATTATTATGATGACATCGGTCTGAAGATGATTTTGAGTAATTTAGGGCGCTCTGTTTTACCTTTCGCTTATCCTCCATTGTGAGTTGTAGTCTTTCGTCCGTAGTTGATTACTGTTCGAGGCATTCTACCGGCGATTGTATGGTCTCATTGGTAACGACGTTAGGCTCTTGGTGCGCGTTCTTGTGCGTCTTTCATGGTCTCCTTGACAACGGCGTTAGGCTCTTGGTGTGCGTTCTTGTGCGTGCGTGTTTCCTTCTTTTCCGTTCTGTTGAGGTGTAGTTTGAAGGCGTTTGTCCGTTGGTATTCAAGCTCTTATGAATGATTGAGATATCTGTCGGGAGCATGTGCACGACACATTCCCTCGCCTGATTGATGGCGTTGGTCAGTCTGTTCTCCCCGGCGATTGGAATTTGTGCCTGCTGTTGCACTTTTTCAGGATCATGTTCATGCACAGGTTGTCGATGTCTTTTTAAGTGTTTTTAAGTGCTGGTTAGGTCTTGTGGTTCTCACAGATTCTCGATGTCTTCTCTAGTGCTGGTTAGGTATGTGGTTCTCGTCGGTAATTGGTTCTTGCTTGCTCTGCTATTAGAGCTTGTTCGGTCTCGGGTCTCTGTACCTGCTGCTTGCTCTGCTATACGATTCGTTGGACCCCTGTTTCTATGTTTCTTCTGGCACTGTGGGAGGAATTCTGGTGGTCTTGAATCCTGTCGAGGTGTGCGACGCGTGTGCGACGCGTGTGCGACGGGTTTCGGTTCGGACGCAGTTGCACTCAGAGATTCTCGGAATCTTGTGGAGTGCTTCAAGGACTGGGTACTTGTGCTTTTGTTACGATGGATGTTTTGTGCTTTTGTCACGATGGATGTTTTGGCCCACTGTTATAAAGCGCGATGCGTTTTTTCTCGCGCTTTATGTGCGGAGTAATCGTTCCTGCCGTTTCGAAATCTTGATCAGGTTTTTGTGCGTTTGTTTTGGCGCTTCATGTGCGGAGTAGTCGTTCCTGCGGTTCGGAATCTTGATTAGGTTTCTGGCGTCCTGATTAGGTTTACTGTTGGTTCTTCTCGAGTGCTGTCTGCTTTTTTTTTTTTTTTTTTTTTTAATAGGTTATCGGGACTGCTTCTGATATTGGGGTGTTTACCGGTAATCTTGATCAGGTTTTTGTGCGTTTTTTTTGGCGCTTTTTGTGCGGAGTAGTCGTTCCTGCGGTTTGGAATCTTGATTAGGTTTCTGGAGTCCTGATTAGGTTTACTGTATGCTTCTTCTCGAGTGCTGCTTACGTCTTTTTTTTTCTTTTTTTTTTTTTTAATTATCGGGACTGCTTCTGATATTGGGATGTTTACTGGTTGTATGTTTGTACGCTTCTGATGGTACTTTGGGTTTGGGACATATCTCTCGCAGACTCTCGGTGTTTGTACAATTCTTTCCCGCCAGTCGCATCGCTGTTTCGCTCGTAGGTTTTTTCTTGCAGTCGCATCTTTTTTTTTTTTTGGGATCGTGTTCTTTCAGTGATATTACTGCATTTGAATATGCGAGTATGAGGTGTGCTGATTGGGGATCGTATTCTTTCAGTGATATCATTAAATTTGAATATGCGAGTATGAGGTTGATATATGTGAGAGGCCGTCTGGCTGTTTCACGACTTCAACGCCTCGGCGTCAGGTTTGTTATCTGTCTCCAGTAGTTTACGGTCAGTGTTGATATCGATTGGACTGCCTTTTTCTTGATGAACTTTTGGCCGTATGTGAGGGCGCTGCTCCATTGTTAAGGCGCGGTTTATGATCTACTACGAATATAACATTTTGTACTGTCATCGCTGTATGAGGGGCAAATTGCTGGCCGTCTTCGGCTTGAGTTTGGGTACGGCCGTTAAAATTGGAACGATACAGAAGAAAGATTAGCATGGCCCCTGCCGCGGAAGGATGAGCGCATATTAGTTCGAGAAATTGTCCAAAATTGTTAATGACACGCATCTATCGAGAAATGGTCCGGACTTTCTTTACAAAAAAAAAAATGGTCCGGATTACGAGATTCTGACCGTTGATCTTTTTGCTATGGTGGGTGACAGCGTTGAAGTAGGGAAAATAAACGCAAGAAACCATTTCATGAGCAAACAAATGAAGAAAAAGACTAAGGGCCAGATCCCAGGGTTGGTGACAGCGTTGAAGTAGGGAAAATAAACCCAAGAAACCATTTCATGAGCAAACAAATGAAGAAAAAAATTGGTAAGGGCCAGCCCCTATTGTTCATTTCTGACCGTTGATCTTCGTAATCGAGGGTGAAAAATGAATAATCCAGGGTACCGTCTTCCGCCGAATATAACGTACGGTCATTATAACTGTATTTAGACCGAAAGATACCCCGAATACAGCTAAATCACCGTACGTTGTATTCGGGGGAAGAAGGTAGTCGTTTGACCCTAAGACAGAAAAGAAAGTGCTCTTCTTACAGATGGTGTCTGCTCCAGGCGGGGTGTCAGATGTCAGGGTATGATTCACTGACCATGGCTGTGGCAGTCAAGACGACTGTATGTGAGTGAGAACACGGACCATATGCATTGACAATATTCTGAGGCTGCCTTGAAACAGGCCGCAGTGCACGCTGTTCGGTTGTTCTGATAGAAATTGTCTTTCTTGCCAAAGGAGGGCCAGAGCAACTCCATACACCATTTGCTGTAGGTGAGGGGATCGAACCACAATCAATTTCCAGCGATGAAGGCATTCGTTCGTCTTTGCCTTCGCCGTGAGTGAAACGTGTGTGATTGCACAAACCAAAAAACTTGGCTGTGATTTCACGCACGTTTGGGACAGCCACAGGACCCCAACAACAAGAACAAAAGAAAAACCTGCCAATGGTAGAGCAAAAAGAAAACATCCTCTTCCCCCGGCTTAATTCACAAAAACAGGCTGTCGCTGATTTCCTGCCAAATCCACGATGCCTGACAATCACACACCTTAAACACTACTACACATTCATCGGTAGTGGGATCTCGCTCCGGGGCCGAGGTCCCACTAGCAAAGAGGATCGGATCGAATGCCTGAATCTGGATGTGTTTTAACTAGAGATGCAGAAAAGCAGTTCAATCTCGATTCACTGAATCTCTCCACAATCACGTCCAGATGCAGGCATTCTATCCGATCCTCTTTGCTAATGGGACCACGCTCTCGGGTGACATATTTACAGGGGTCGGCCGTGGTGTCCGAGGGGAAGACCAAAAAAAAAAAAAAATAATGCCCGACGGGTACTTTTGGACCGAAATAGCTCATTTTGAGTTGGCGCGTGGTTGGTTTCCTGTTGCCGCTGCGAGGATTATTTGCCTTCTGGGTTTCAAAACATGGAGCGTCCGCCATTGTCTCAAAAAAAAAAAACACAATTCCGAAAAAAAAAGAAAACCCGCGCACGTATATCAACGACACCGGGGGCAAAGTCCCACCACCAGCGTTGAGTTTCCTCGACGTCTGAATCTGGACGTGTTTGTGGCTATGTGGGGTTGAAACTCGACGCCATTTCGGCACATCTCCACAAACACGTCCAGATTCAGGCGTTGCGGAAACTCAACGTTGCTAGTGGGACTTGGCCCCGGGGGCAAGGTCCCACTTGCACGAATTAAGAGATATTGACCGTCGATAGCGAGAAGATCAACGGCCGAAATCTCCTAATCCGCGCAAGTGGCACCTTGCCCGGGCGAATGATCATGGGCAATTGCACTCTGTGAAAGTCACCTTTTTTTCTCCCGCGCTTTTCGCAGCGAGAAAACTATTGCAGTCCGATAGGACTATTATCTGCGGCTGACAGGCATGTAGAACACAGGAATGGTTCTCGCATTCCTGTACTTTGACAGCCACTACCAATAGTTGGAATTGGCCCTGGGGAAAAGAGACCGACTGGGAGGGGTACCCAATTTTGCGTACATGGTGGAGCCTTGCAGGGGACCAACCCCTTGAGACGAGGTCCAATCCTGATGGACCTAGATGAATGCAATGAAATAATCTGGGGGTTGGTCACGATGATGATATCTCAAGGCTGTCGCCCTCGGAAAAAAAAACGAAAACAAAAACGAAAAAGAAAAAATAGAAGGCCCAGAGGATTGTAGTGAGGCATAACAGATGATGGAGGGAGAAGTGAATTGACCGTTGCAGAGTGGTATGATGTAGACCAGCGTGCAGACAAACGAAGGGGAAGTCTCAGAGCAGAAATGAGGATCGAATAAAAAGTAATGTGATGGTACAACGTCTTTTCTCACCTTCCTCGTTCCACCATCGTGCTGTCCCCCTCTACTTCACGAATAGTGAGCCCATCAAGCCTCTTCCCATTACAGGGTCGGTATCTTAGTCACAGACACCTCGCTGATAAGCAATGGACAACGTATATGATGCACTCACTGAGAGGTGTGATCACATAGAAGAATGTGGGGTTGGTGCAGCCAAGCCCTGCGCCACGTTTGTCCCCTCCCCGTCATGAGGTACGTAGTACCTGGCATTGCCACAGCTACAATACTCGCTGCCAACACAGAAGAAGAACGCGCAAAGTGATGCTGTTGCTCCAAGTATCTGCTACCGTCAACTGCTCCCAGGCCAGGCCATGGGAAAAAGAGCGGTACCACTACCGCCACCTCCTGCGGGGGCACGTTTCCCTTGGTCTGGCCTGAGCTTGGCATGTGTTTGGCCTGAGTTTGGCATGTGTTACGAAGGATGAGAAATAATCATAGAATAGTCATGAACAGATACTTGGAGCTGCGACAGACGTTAGCAGTTACATAAGGCGATACTACTACTGGACGCTGCTACGTGAAATCAGCGACGCAAGATATTAGGAGAGAAGGTGACATATGCTTAAGAATTGCGAATCAATGATTCTGGGAGAATCTCCGGAGTCCCCACGCAGCATTGCTCCATGTGCTCGTCATTTTCTATTCGTTTACTATGTACCTCCCCCCCCGTAAGTATGTAACTAATAATCATAAATGCATATGCGTGGTACGCGTCTGAAGTAAATTTGCGAGATTGTGAAAGGGGTGGAATCACGTCGCTAACTGGAGTCAGCAGCAAATGAAACCATCTGAGTAAACTACATTTGAAGAATGGAGGGAGAAGCGGATAGATAGATCCCTGTGATTTTCCAGGTCAAAGTTGATCCTGACATCTTCCTGCCATCGGCACCAGCCCACCGGGACGACCGTGTGCATTCAGACTCTTCGGAGTGACCAAACCTAAGCTCTAGGAGGCCCAGAGGAGTGTAGTGAGGTCAGCAGTAGCAATGGGCAAAGCAGCACTAGCTCAAACTATGACTTCACAACCATCACGGGCATCGCACTTGGATTGGAGCTCCACGGTGAGAGCATAGGTGAGCTATAGAGCATGGGCTTCAAAACCGAAGAGTCATAGACAGCGGGATTAACTGCAAGAATTGGCGGAGGGGTAGTTTTGGGAAGATACGCTCCCCTGCGAGAAGAAAGGAATATTGTCGCCTACAGTCAGGATTACAATGGTGGAACATGTCGATTCAGTCGTTGCTACATTGGACCAGGCCCTGGGTGGCGACGTTCGGGGGAGTGCTTCTATTGGTAACCTTGGCTGGACCTACGACGACCCTATTACGGGGACAGCGTACAAGGTTACGCAAGTCTTCCGTGCCGAGTCATTCTGTAGCGACTTCTAAAAGAATGGTTGGAAGAGAGAAGTCACTACAAATATGGGGAGAGTAGATATAGCAGATATAGGGAACCCACCACTATTGAGCCACTCAAAGTAGGGAAGATAGGTGTTAGAACGGACAAACATGTAATCACTATAGATTATTCAAATTCCTGCTTACTTAGGTTTGGACACATTCCTCGGTTAGGTCTTGGACTGAATCATATTCTCTTGCTAGCCCGGATATAAACTCAGCAATAAAGGGGGTACTAGCACCATGTGAAAAAAAACTATGGAGTTGTTTTGCATGAAGCATGAAGTATGACATGATGATAACGACGATAGTAGAAAAAGTTCATTGATGCACTACATCAGTAGATTCAGAGTATGCAAACATAACTATAATACAGAAAAATTTGTTGACATTGGGGAGCACTACTTAGCACATTAGATAGACTATATCGCCCAACATGTTTTCATTGGATGCATGGATAAGGCAACTAACACATCATAATCATTTGCATTGATTTTGTTCGATAAATGACGCTTGAGAGACTAATAGTGCTCGATTTCGAAATGCTGGGACCAGTGACATAGGATATTATACAAATAATAACCAGTAAAAACACA